CAATTTTTATTCACCCCCTCCCCCCCCCAGGAGTGGGTGGTGTGAGTCAGGTGCGTTAAGAGGAAATGACGGGAAACTAAGGTAAGAAGCTGGCCTTGCTTCTCTCGCGTTACTTATTCTGGTGTAAGCACAGTTAGGGAGGTGTAGGAGGAGGGGGGGGGGGTGGCTCCTTGAGTTGATAGCCACGATCTTGAGACAGTATTGTTTGAGATGTAAGGTATTGCATAGTGGTACGTGTAGACTGCATCACCGTGTAACAACTGGGAATTATATATGTTAAAAGAATAAAGAATGCGAATAAGGTGGCTTGAAGGCCGTGTATAAAATACACAGCCTTGTAGCAGTTTAAATGTTAGTTTAGTTCATTTATTATACACCCCATACCCATCTTGTGGGGAGGTAGTGGAAAGGGTTACAGAGGCATATAATGGGCTCAGGGACTGAACCCCACAATTCATTTAGCTAAGCAAGTTACAATCTTGAAGAACTAGTTACAAAAATTCAGTATGTCACATCATCAATGGGTTCGAGATCGACTACAAGTATAGTTTCTAAATTAAGCAACTGACATATGTGGAGAACTTGTGTCATAATTGATATGTTTGTCCTACACATCGCCCCCCCATCCAGTGGGCAGCGGCGGATAGGTTACAATCACATAGTTACTTCCTACAGTTAGCAAACTGAAGATATTTGGCTAAGATTTCTGGTAGCCGATAATTTTGAATGAAATGTTTACACATCTCTGGAACATTGGTTATAGAATTGTCTCTGAATTATACGTATCTTTTCGCACTCCATCACATAGTGACGGAGGGTGTGCGAATAATTTTGTTGACAGTTTACATTTGGTCAGGTCTACATCAGCAGATAATGAGAATTCCCAGAAGTACTTGTAACTGAGTCTAAGCCGAGCAGTAGTAACATCTAGAAGTCTGCTGATTTTATTGGATGCCTGGCATCCCAGTATGCCCAAGGAACTGATAATTCAGTTCCGAATTAATTAATTTAGTTCCGATAAATTCTGTGCCAACGTTGGAGTTCTTGAGGCGAGCCTTAACCAAATTTGCAGGTGAAATGGTCTGGGTTACAGGACTGACATAGGCTGTTCATGGTCGCCAGAATTCAATAGAGAATATCGTACCAGGGTTACACTTAAACTCCCCCCCCCCCCCCATGACGATTTTTGGCACTGCCCCCACCAGCTACACCTACCAAAATATTTTGAAAAAATCAATAGTTATTAATGGAAATATACACCATTATTTAATGATCCCGGGGAAATTAACAAAAAAAAAAAACTGCTATTCAAACTAAGGCCGTAGTCCCATAACACACACAAATTCAATTCCTCTCCTCCCAGAGAAAACTGGGGCAGACTCATTTGAAAGGGGTAACTGTTATATTGTGTGAATGTTATTAATATTATGAAGAGACAGCGACACTTGCTCTTGTGTTGTTAGTAATATTGTAGGAGAGAAGAAATATATATATATATATATATATATATATATATATATATATATATATATATATATATATATATATATATATATATAATATGTCGTACCTAGTAGCCAGAACGCACTTTTCAGCCTACAATGCAAGGCCCGATTTGCCTAATAAGCCAAGTTTTCCTGAATTAATATATTTTCTCTAATTTTTTTCTTATGAAATGATAAAGCAACCCATTTCATTATGTAAGAGGTCAATTTTTTTTTATTGGAGTTAAAATTAACGTAGATATATGACTGAACCTAACCAACCCTACCTAACCTAACCTATCTTTATAGGTTAGGTTAGGTTAGGTAGCCGAAAAAGTTAGGTTAGGTTAGGTAGTCGAAAAGCAATTAATTCATGAAAACTTGGCTTATTAGGCAAATCGGGCCTTGCATAGTAGGCTCAGAAGTGAGTTCTGGCTACTAGGTACGACATATATATATATATATATATATATATATATATATATATATATATATATATATATATATATATATATATATATATATATATATATATATATATATATATATATATATATATAAATAAATAGAACGAGAGAGGGGAGACAGACCGGGGCAACAGTGGATAACCCCCTAGTGTGTGTGTGTGTATCTACTATTTGTGCCTACAGAATCGAGCTATTAGCTCTTGGACACTGCCTTTTTATCCGGTATATTTTTCCTCTACTATGTCAACTACATATATTTCTCTCTAACACACAAATACACACACATCCCCAGGAAGCAGCCCGTTGCAACTGTCTAACTCCGTTATATATTTATTGCTAGGTGAACAGAACTATCAGGCGAAAGAAACTCTGCCTATTTGTTTGCGCCTCGGTTGGGAATTGGGAAATATATTATATATATATATATATAATATATATAATAATATATATATAATATAATATAATAATATTATATAATAATATTATATATAATATTATATATATAATATATATATTATATATATAATATATATTATTAGTATATTTTGGTAGCAGTCTTTCCTGTAGACATATATTATTAAATATGACCGAAAAAGTGAGATTAATAATTCTAACACGAATTTTCTCAATCTTTCGTACATTTCTTTTCACTGTTGGAGGTAAATCAAAAATCAATTCTCCAAAATTCATTTTTATTTCTAGTCTGACGCGACACGAGCGCGTTTCGTAAAACTTATTACATTTTCAAAGACTTTAGTTCACAAATACACAACTGAATAGAACTTACGCATCTCCGATTTTATATCTACATTTGAGTGAGGTGGAAGGGGTGATGTGGCATTAACACAAGACAGAACAAGATGTGGCATTAATAGGGTATTAATTTCATCAACACAAGACAGAACAAGAGGTGATATTAATAGGGTATTAATTTCATCAACACAAGACAGAACACGAAACAATGGATATTGAATACAAGTGTTTGTAGAAAGCCTATTGGTCCATATTTCTTGATGCTTCTATATTGGAGCGGAGTCTTGAGGTGGGTAGAATATAGTTGTGCAATAATTGGCTGTTGATTGCTGGTGTTGACTTCTTGATGTGTAGTGCCTCGCAAACGTCAAGCCGCCTGCTATCGCTGTATCTATCGATGATTTCTGTGTTGTTTACTAGGATTTCTCTGGCGATGGTTTGGTTGTGGGAAGAGATTATATGTTCCTTAATGGAGCCCTGTTGCTTATGCATCGTTAAACGCCTAGAAAGAGATGTTGTTGTCTTGCCTATATACTGGGTTTTTTGGAGCTTACAGTCCCCAAGAGGGCATTTGAAGGCATAGACGACGTTAGTCTCTTTTAAAGCGTTCTGTTTTGTGTCTGGAGAGTTTCTCATGAGTAGGCTGGCCGTTTTTCTGGTTTTATAGTAAATAGTCAGTTGTATCCTCTGATTTTTGTCTGTAGGGATAACGTTTCTATTAACAATATCTTTCAGGACCCTTTCCTCCGTTTTATGAGCTGTGGAAAAGAAGTTCCTGTAAAATAGTCTAATAGGGGGTATAGGTGTTGTGTTAGTTGTCTCTTCAGAGGTTGCATGGCTTTTCACTTTCCTTCTTATGATGTCTTCGACGAAACCATTGGAGAAGCCGTTATTGACTAGGACCTGCCTTACCCTACAGAGTTCTTCGTCGACTTGCTTCCATTCTGAGCTGTGGCTGAGAGCACGGTCGACATATGCGTTAACAACACTCCTCTTGTACCTGTCTGGGCAGTCACTGTTGGCATTTAGGCACATTCCTATGTTTGTTTCCTTAGTGTAGACTGCAGTGTGGAAACCTCCGCCCCTTTTCCATGACTGTTACATCTAGAAAGGGCAGCTTCCCATCCTTTTCCATCTCGTAAGTGAAACGCAGCACGGAACTCTGCTCAAATGCCTCCTTCAGCTCCTGCAGATGTCTGACATCAGGTACCTGTGTAAAAATGTCGTCAACATACCTGCAGTATATGGCCGGTTTCAAGTTCATGTCGACTAAGACTTTTTGCTCGATGGTACCCATGTAGAAGTTTGCAAACAGGACACCTAGGGGAGAACCCATGGCGACCCCATCTACTCAAATGTAGATATAAAATCGGAGATGCGTAAGTTCTATTCAGTTGTGTATTTGTGAACTAAAGTCTTTGAAAATGTAATAAGTTTTACGAAACGCGCTCGTGTCGCGTCAGACTAGAAATAAAAATGAATTTTGGAGAATTGATTTTTGATTTACCTCCAACAGTGAAAAGACATGTACGAAAGATTGAGAAAATTCGTGTTAGAATTATTAATCTTACTTTTTCGGTCATATTTAATAAAATATATATTATATATATAATATATATATAATATGAGCATAACGGGCCAACCCCTCTCGGTGTTCAAAAGAGAACTTGATAAACACCTCCAAATGATACCTGATCAACCAGACTGTGATTCATACGTGTCCAATGGCCTGGTTGACCTCACCAGTCAGGAAGGCTGGTTAGAGACTAGGCCGCGGGGACATTGTTTCCCAGAACCTTAAATAGGCAGGTTGATATCAAACTGGCCAGGGCCACATAAAATGCCATATATGGTCTTGCAGGCAAATTACTTCTGCATTTGAATTAAATTGAATTATCATTATTAATTGAACTGTTTACATTATAACCTTCACATTATTTTCTTTTGTTTTGAAAACATGTAACAGTCCACTCACAGGATGAGTGGCGCTGCCCAATAAACTCGTCCCTCGGGGCAAAATTAAAAAAAACAACTCACAAAATTTAAAGAGTAAGGAAAGCATTGACAGCAGTTTATAAAGAAAACACAAGTATACAGACTACATAATATATGGCATATCCCTTTGAACTGAACTCTTGTAACAGAGACCCTTCTTCAACAGCGCCTTGCAGCCGTCTCTGGGGCACCCAGCATCTTTGCACATGGTGTGCCAAGAGGTCGATCTGCTTTTACTGAGAGCACTTAAGCTGTGTCAATGTGTAAAAGATTAATTAATATTGCATTACACCCTCCACAGAGCGGATTGTGATGACGCCGAAGGGCAAGACGGCCACGTCGACGACCATTATGGTGGAGCGGCGCAAGATGGCGCCCCAGGAGGGCAACGTCCACGTAGGAGGGGGCCAACACTCTGGCATCATCATCAACAAGGATACTAGGACCGGTGAGTGGTACTTGTGACCAGTGTGTGTTGCGATAAAGACTGGCGAGTGTTGGTAATACCTTACCAAGGTAATAGTTACCAAGTTGGTAATAATGACCCGTGTGGGCAGAGGGGAGATGAGCTTGGGTATGGGTGACGCTGTGCCAGTGTATGAGTGTTAAGAGGCACCAATGTGGGAGCAGCAAAGTACTGGCCGAAACGCTGTGTTTCGGCCAGTACAAACGATTATATACAGAACAGTAAACCGAAAAAAATTAAACTTAAAAGATGCTATGAGAGTGACGATAACATTAAGGATTAGACAAATTAAATTATGATCTAAGAAATATCAGAAAAGTACTGTGATAAAAAAATTAAAAACTTAGGCTTTAGGGAGATAGTGTGAGTTGCTAACTACTGTAAATAAATGATGATAAATAAATCCGAAATTACAAAGTTCATAGCCTTCTCCAATATATTTCTTATTAATTATATTCTAATTTGTTCTCACATTATTGATTTGTTATTTTACTAATGCATGCTTGAATAGCAAACCAGTCTTCATTTACTGATCACAGTATGAATGGTCATAGTATTATGCAGTACAGTATACAGTACATTGATTTAAGATGAATCAGGATGGTATTTCTTGCAAACCCCTTGATGGCCTGTAACACAACTGATGTACTATGTATTATGTTTTCTTAGAAAACTTGGAGGACACACCCGCCCACTTGCAGTTGGAGTTTAAAGTATTCTTAATTAATGCTCAAACACAGAAGCACACACAAGAGAGCAGACAATTAAGATTTTGGTTCCAAAGTTGTGTACCTGAGAAGGAAAGGATGAGAAGCGCACAGGAGTTCTTCAAGGAGTTAGTAGCGCCTCTAGAGTTTCCAAGAGGTAAATCACTCTGTTTTGTCTAATATATAATGCAATATACAGTATTGAACTTCATTGCATGCAATTATTTGTTTTTTTTACATAGTTCAAGTTTGTGACATCTCCATGATAAATACTACACATATTATGTGAACGTAATGGCTAGATTATTAAAAAGATAAAATTAGTTGCCAAAACTTGGTATTAATATTCCGTCTTCACTTAATTATAAAATGTTTATTTCAAAACTTGTGAAAATCAGGTAATCTAAGGAAAATAACTTGTATATTGTATGAGAACTGTACAGTAGTTAGACCGCTGATGCTGTGTGTTCAGTTTTCTAGCTGTATTAACACTGTACAGAGTTTTGTATGCATTAAGTCTTTATAAATAAGTATATAATTGAAATGTAATTTTAATATCAGATTATGTGGGTTTCATCAAGAAGATAATGAAAATGATGCAACACAAATACAAAATGCTGAGCAAGACTGAGGTAGAACTGAGGCAACTTGAGGAATCTGATAAACCACCAACCAGACCAAGTGAGTGATGAATCATACTTCTCTATTATCCAAGGTGTTCCCTCTCTGTTAAAACTATAATTAATCACTTCCTGGTGGTACATAGTATATTTAAAATATATATAATCCTGTGCTATACACTGTAGGAATCCTTTGGTTTGTACAATTTCAGATAACATAAATTTCTACTTCAGCAATTTTGTTTGTAACACCAAGAGTAGGCGGTGGGGATGCTCATGTATGCAAGTCTGTGGGAGGTTCGTGATGCACAAGTTGTTGATGCACGGCAAGACTTACCATGAGGGTGTTTTTCTTTCCCTTTGTTGTCTCTCCCCCCCCCCCCTTTTTTTTTTGTTCATAATAGCTTATAAAGACGTTGAGGCAGCATTTGAAAGGACCAAAATTTTGAGAAACATTTTTACACTATAATCTCTCTTGGCTTTATACAATGAGATCTTTGAGGAAACTGAACAAGATAAAACAGTTAACACTTGTGGTTCTGGCTTTTTGTAGACTCAGGTGAGTCATGTAATGTAGTCTATGAGACGTGAGGAAAGACCACATTCAGCTTACAGTTTACTGGTTGGTAAAAGGTTCAACAGAACTTGGCTAAGGAAAGAGCATTAGAGATGGTCATCAAAGTACATCAAAGGCATAGTCAGAAAGAACAATGTTACACTTGAGTGAATTATAGAATTGTCTTCAGGTACTGCAATCATTCCCCTTCTCCAATCCCAGCTCCTTGCCCTTGTATCTCTTCCAAGTTCCATGTAGTCATAATGGCCTAGTGCTTTTCTCTCATAATTACCTTGCCTTTAATAATGTACATGGATTGAAAAATTATTCAAAATTTCATTACATACTGTACAGTATATATGTAATGAATTTTTTGTGTCCATAACTCAACAATAAAACTCAACCATTTTCAAGACACAAAAAGTGATGAAAACATTAGAAAACATTAAAATATAGCCTAATTAAAAAAAAAAGGCACAACTCGTGTCTTAGGGCACTCTGCGCACTGCAGTGGTTAAACTAATCCTCTAGTGATGCACAGCATTTCAAGCAAGTCTTAAAACTAAACGGAAGAGAGACTTACAGTCTCCGTGGTGTAGTGGTAAGACACTCGCCTGGCGTTCCGCGAGCGCTATGTCATGGGTTCGTATCCTGGCCGGGGAGGATTTACTGGGCGCAATTCCTTAACTGTAGCCTCTGTTTAACGCAACAGTAAAATGTGTACTTGGATGAAAAAACGATTCTTCGCAGCAGGGGATCGTATTCCAGGGACCTGCCCGAAACGCTACGTGTACTAGTGGCTGTACAAGAATGTAACAACTCTTGTATATATCTAAAAAAAAAAAAAAAAAAAAAAAAAGTGAAGACAGTAATGCTGTGTGAGTGGTTTTGCAACAATGTGCCTAATCTAATATTATATCCTTTTAAATTAAATATCCACTGTGCTACAGTAATAGGATGTTATTGTTCTGTATGAATGCCAATTTGTTTACGAAACCTTAAACACTTTCTTCATAAAGAATATAAATATTAACATTTATATTAATTACAGGGGACAGGTGGTAACAAATTATAATATTGGTTTATATAACTAATGGCTATAATAATATGTATAATATTAATAGTTGGGTGGTATGACTTATGTAATAAGTTTAAGCAAATTCTGTTGCTTTTATATACATACTGGAAGCTCTTCTAACTCATCTTCAACACAGCAAAATTCTTTAGCACTAATTATATATTATGCTTGCTAGGCTGCATGTTAAAGAATGAGTATAAAAGAATATGCTTTAGAAGCAAAGAATCAATTTAAAAAGAATATGCATCAGAAGCTACAAACTAGTTGACAATTCCTGAATGCTTGCAGAATCTGGCATCAATAACCTGATTCTAACTACTGTACTAGATTTGAAGCTCCAATATTTGATGTTCTAAATAATAAATGAAAGCTTTGAGTGTGCTCAGAAGGATTTCTTAAATTATTTGGGCTCCTGACAAGTTAGCTTTGACCATACTGCTGTGTTTGAGGTATGGAAAAGGTCAGGGTGTGACACAAGCATCCGAGGGTGTATGGAAGACATGATTGTGATGATACAGGTTAATGATGATGCAGCTTAAATAGCTGCAGCAGTGGAGATAGTGTAGCAAGATGCTTTAAAACAGTTAGTGAAAATGTGTAAGAAATTTTGGGATTTATAAAAGCATGATGCATGCATAGACTATGCTAATCAATAATAGCATAAGCTTCATGAATTTGTAATCAATTTAGGAAACTTGGATGCAGTGAGGGGGGAACAAGTCTCAATGCACTCCAAGAATTAATGTCAATTTTACAAGGTTCTGTGATGAGAACATTTGCTAGTCAAAAGTAGTAAAATAAATTAGTGATTCTAAAGGATCAAGACATTAGCATAAGTGAGAAGAGGCATGGTATACCCTTGTACAATGAGAGGAAGATAACATATGATTCGAGTTCTCATGCTAAACGCAAAATAGAGGTGCATGATGAATAGTACAATTTGCTTTAGGTTTGTAATGAGTAGAGTTCAAGTTAAATGCATTAATTATGTATATCATGATTATATTCAATGAAAGGATTGACATGAAATAATGATAATTTAATATAACCTTTCTTTGATGTAGAGAGAGATGTAATATTGCATGTTAAAGAAGATTGTGTTGACATGTTTTGGGGCTTGTCTTCAGGCAGGCCAGGAGTGGTCCTGTACACAGTGGGATGCAGTGAGCCTGAGACAGGTGCTCTTCACTACCTGTTTTAAATTATACTAACAGTTTTGCAGTGTATTTACTCAAAGATTATGTAGATTTTGTGTGTGTGTGTGTTTCTTATTCTTCCTTATAATGAATTACTGAAAATGTGTGATTTTCCTATACCAGAGATGATGGTAGTTGGCTCTAATATCAGAGGATGATTGGCTACCATAACTGATCTGTATTATTGTATTTGTGTTTGTCTTGTAACTTTAAAAGTGTGAGAATTTTTATTTAAATTGTTGAATGAAGAAAATTAACTGATATAGAATTACAATACTGTTGTAGATTATTTAGCAATATGTTTATTTTATTCACATTTGTAATGAGTTTACATTGAATTTGGTGCACCTGTGTGTTTAATGATAATTTTCATGTGTAATGATAGGTTTATTGTTGTTCATGTGACTGGCACAAGAACTTGTTGTCGCTGATCAGTAACTGAATGAGTAACCACTTAAATGCCATCTTGTCCTTGGTAAAGGGTACTAGGCCAGGGGCTGCCTGTTCTTATATCCTTTATCCAAATCAATTATGTAAGGCCTATTATGTTTGAAAAGTGTATGCACCCTTTTGCGCCTCACACCATTCATTTTAATTATTCATATTTATGTACAGTATTTATTTGGCTTAGGAAGAGTACAGTATATTTTAAATACATTGGGATAAGTTCTTATTATGTATAATATTCAAAGACTCAAAATTTCTGTATTGCAATAAGGCAAACTGTATTAATAAAAATTACTATTAAAAATAAGCTTGTACAAAATGGTACTATACAATAGACTATGCAGATGTTTCAGCAAAGACTATCAATTGATGAATTCTACCAAAATTTCATCTGAACGATTGTGCCGATACATACTGTACGTTTTATCACCAACACACTGCTCACCATATCCTGTACATTGTTCATGCCATTTCTCACTTCCTCACCCACTATGTCCATCACTTTTTGGGCCTTCCTCTCCTCCTCTTACCCTCAAATTCACTCAAATACACTGTTTTCACCAGTCTATTATTATCCATTTATTCATGATGTCCAAACCAATTAGGTATGCTCTCCTCAGTCTTGCAGTGTGTTGACCTTTGCACTTGACACCTCTCCATGACATTTTCATTCTTTACTTTAGTCAAAAATGACTTTACTCCCAAAAGGGAGCCGGTCGGCCGAGCGGACAGCACACTGGACTTGTGATCCTGTGGTCCTGGGTTCGATCCCAGGCGCTGGCGAGAAACAATGGGTAGAGTTTCTTTCACCCTATGCCCCTGTTACCTAGCAGTAAAATAGGTACCTGGGTGTTAGTCAGCTGTCACTGGCTGCTTCCTGGGGGTGGAGGCCCGGTCGAAGACCGGGCCGCGGGGACACTAAAGCCCCGAAATCATCTCAAGATAACCTCAAGATAAGATAGTCTCTTACTCAGATTATTTATTTTTGTTGCTCAAATTCTTGATTCTGCACACTCATACTACAGACAGCCTTTGAGGTGTACAGAGACAATGTTTTAATAAAAACTGTGTAAATAACAAATTTAAACAAATTATTTGAAGGTACGTACAGTGTATAATAAAAAAAAATTGTAAAACACATGCACAGGACGAGTGTGTTAGCCAGACACTGCCAAGACCATGAAAAACTCATGGATTAGCAGAGATTATATGCATTAATACATGCTCGAACTGTGAAGTCAAAATTTCCCTGCACATCACCAAAATTAGAATTTTCCAGTACTGCATTGGAAAACATAAGCCCCAGTACATAAGGGTTGATACTGTGACCACTTTATGCAGTCCTCTGGTTACATTTGCATATTTCTAGCATGGTTTTTCTAACCAGGGCTTCCGTTACCCCAGCCAGTTACTTTCCTTGACTTATTCTGCTCTCAACTTTGATTGTTCAACTTTCCTCTTCTATGAGCTGTTTTACCTTATTTCCTTCAAGCACTTCACCTTTCATATTTATTTGACAGAAATCCTTTTTCTTTCTACAATCCTAACTTTACTTTCATTCACATACACTTTTCAAGTCTTCTCTCATGCATATCAGCAAAATGTTAAACTAGTCTACATAAATCTCTCTCTCGAACTACAGTATTACTTTCCCATTGCTATGAACAGGAAGCCTGTTAGGCTTATCAATATACAGTTGTTACACGAACTTGCTCTTCTCACTCCATAAAATTCATATCAGTACCTCTTTTCATCAATTCAACTCACTAGACTTTCAAATTATTCTCTGCACATACTTCTTATCCTCTCTGAAACCATTTAACATTCTCCTGTCTCTCTCTTTAACATTCTTATTTATCAGTTCACCAGAATGTGTTAAGTTTATCAGTGCTATACAGTGTAATACAACTTGTGGCCAGTACATAATGAACAATTTATTACCTTTAATGAAGTAGAATAATACTGCCAGTCCCAATACTAATATCTTAACTAATCAGGCCATGGTAATGTACACAGATGCTACCTTTGCTACAATATATCCATAAAATGCTGTAATTAATTTTAAGATGTGTTTTAGAATATTGATATACTGCACATATTCTTAATTTAAGCAATATACTATGAATCTTTTACAATATCTAGAGTGTTTTATAATATACTTATATATTCACATTAAACTCTTGGATCAGTTTGTGTAATTTTCCTGTGTTTAGAAATGTTTATTTTTTCAGTATTGTGTATTGCCTTTTTCAGTGGAGGATCAGAAAACTGAATTAAGCGAGGAAAAAGTGTTGGAGATGATCGAATCTTCGTACCCTAACCCCATTACTGTAAAGGACATGGCCAAGTAAGTGATAAGTGTTTTTAAAGTTACTGACCTGGTAACTGAATACCTTGGGACCAAAAGGGTCTGATTGTCATGATGCCTTAGCAAACATGTCTGTCTGGATGTGAATGATATGGAAGTGAATGTCTGAAGTGAGGGAGGGAATTATCGGGGGAAAGTGCCAAGCCATTACGACTGCAGCACTTGGAAAGGGTCAGGGGTAAGGATTTGGGATGGTACGGGGGGAAAGAAAGAAATGGTTCCCAACCACTTGAAAAGCGGTTGGGCACCAACCGCTTTTAAACTGCAAGAAATACAGTTAAAAATGAAAAGCAACAGAAGAATCCGTGGTTCAATCAGGAATGTGTGGCAGGAAAGCAATTGAGTAAAAGAACATGGTGAAACTACAGGAACAACAGAACACTAGAGAGCAGGGAGAGATACCAGAGGGCCAGAAATGAGTACACCAGAGTGAGGAGAGAAGCAGAGACAGTACGAAAATGACATCGCGAGTAAAGCTAAGACCCAACCAAAACTGCTCCACAGCCACATCAGGAGGACAACAGCAGTGAAGGAACAAGTGATGAAACTGAGAAAAGGGGAGAACAGATACACAGAGACCGACAAAGAGGTGTGTGAAGAACTCGACAAGAGATTCCAGGAGGTCTTCACAATAGAACAAGGAGAGATCCCTGCACTAAATGAGGAGGCAAATTGAACAACCTTGGAGGAAATTTACCTCACCAGTGATGAGGTCAAAAGGAATCTGTTGGAGCTGAATGTGTCAAAGGCTGTTGGGCCTGACAGAATCTCACCGTGGATTCTAAAAGAAGATGCAGAAGCACTAAGTGTGCCACTCTCTATGGTGTATAACAGGTCACTGGAAACGGGAGACCTTCCGGAAAGCTGGAAGACAGCTAATGTAGTCCCAATTTACAAAAAGGGTGACAGGCAAGAGGCACTGAACTATAGGCCAGTTTCCCTAACTTGTATACCATGCAAGGTGATGGAGAAGAATATGAGGAAAAGGCTCGTAGAGCATCTGGAGGGAAACAGCTTTGTAACACACCACCAGCATGGGTTCAGAGATGGTAAATCATGCCTCACAGGCCTAATAGAATCCTATGACCAAGCAACACAAATTAGGCAGGAAAGAGAAGGGTGGGTAGACTGCATTTTCTTGAACTGTCAGAAAGCCTTTGACACAGTACCTCACAAAAGGCTGTTAGAAAAGTTGGAGCAGCAGGCAGGAGTAAAAGGTAAGGTGCTCCAGTGGATAAGGGAGTATCTAAGCAATAGGAAACAGCGATTAACGGTGAGGGGGGGGGAGGCATCAGAGTGGCGAGATGTCATCAGCAGGGTTCCACAGGGCTCTGTACTCGGACCCATCCTGTTTCTAGTATATGTAAACAACCTTCCAGTGGGTATAGACTCATTCCTCTCAATGTTTGCTGATGATGCAAAAATTATGAGAAGAATCAAAACAAATGAAGATAGAGACTACAGGACGACCTGGACAAACTGGAGAAATGGTCTAGAAAATGGCTGCTAAAGTTCAACTCAGGAAAGTGTAAAGTAATGAAATTAGGCGAAGGGAGCAGAAGGCTGAACACAAGGTACCATCTGAGAGGTGAAATCCTGCAAGAGTCAAATAGAAAGATCTGGGGGTCGATATCACACCAAACCTGTCCCCAGAGGCCCACATCAAAAGGATATCATCAGCGGCATATGCTAGACTGGCCAATATAAGAACTGCCTTTAGAAACTTGTGTAAGGAATCGTTCAGGACCCTGTATATCACTTATGTAAGACCAATCCTGGAGTATGTAGCTCCAGCCTGGAGTCCATACCTAGATAAACACAAGACGAAGTTAGAGAAGATTCAGAGGTATGCCACCAGACTGGTCCTGGAACTGAGAGGAATGAGTTGAGAGGAAAGGCTAAGGGAGCTGAACCTCACAACCCTGAAAAACAGAAGAGTAAGGGGAGACATGATAACCCCCTACAAAATTCTCGGGGGAATTGACAGGGTGGACAAAGACAAACTCTTTAGCGCAGGTGGAACACGATCAAGAGGACACAGGTGGAAACTTAGTACCCAGATGAGCCACAGAGACGTTAGAAAGAATTTTTTCAGTGTCAGGGTAGTTAACAAGTGGAATGCATTAAGTAGTGTTGTGGTGGAGGCAGACTCCATACACAGTTTCAAATATAGATATGATAGAGCCCAATAGGCTCAGGAATCTGTACACCAGTTGATTGACAATTGAAAGGCGGGACCAAAGAGCCAGAGCTCAACCCCCTGCAAACACAACTAGGTGAGTACTTGGACAGTCGGGGATTGAATGCAAGCAAAATCATCGCTCTACCATCCAGCCCAAGTGGTTGGACATGTCTGAAGTGAATGATTGGGAAGGAAATTAAAAATAGAACCAGTGAACAGCAGGGGGGTGCCATAGGCACAATCATAGAACCTCGTAAACATCAGAGGTTCACGGATATTCAACATTCTCCCAGCAAGTGCAAGAAACATTGCCGGAATAAATGTGGATGTCTTCAAGAGGAGAGGATGTCTTCAATTTATTTTCAAGAGGAAACTAGATTTATTCCTCCAAGGAGTGCCGGACCAACCGGGCTGTGGTGGGTATGTGGGCCTGCGGGCCGCTCCAAGCAACAGCCTGATGGACCAAACTCTCACAAGTCGAGCCTGGCCTCGGGCCGGGCTTGGGGAGTAGAAGAACTCCCAGAACCCCATCAACCAGGTATCAACCAGGTATCAAGAGAAAACTGGATAGTTTTATTCAGGAAGTGCTGAATCAACCGGGCTGTGGTGCCTATGTGGGCCTGCGGTCTGCTCCAAGCAACAGCCTGGTGGACGAAGCTCTCACAAGTCGAGCCTGGCCAGAGGCCAAGCTTGGGGAATAGAAGAACTCCCAGAACCCCATTCAGGTATGCAGTCAATTCTTATGCCCATCTGTAATAGTTGAGTAATATACTGCATAATGTATGTAGTACAGTAATAGTGAAAATAAAGGTAACTTGGAAATGGGAAAAAAATGGCTGCAGGATCCTCCACCTTATGGCTGAAGGATGATGGCAATGATTGTTTGCCTTGTTTTCCTTAGGAAAACAAGCTTTTCCTGTTTTGGCTTAATGACTGATCCACAAGCTTCCCTCATCTGAGAGAGCACTAGATTTTGGTCATGGCTTCAGGGTAGGCTTGGGTGGGTCAAAGACACCTGGTATGATTACCTGAGGCTTGGCAGCCCCAGCAGAAAAGGGGCACTTCATTATAGTCAATACATCATATTTCATTTAATGTATGCTTAACAAAGAAATTCAGTATGGAGGAAAATATTGAAAAATTCGTAAAAACTATATTCCTTTAATATCTTTCATAGAGTACAGTACTGTAATTTTTATTCAAGTGATTTATGTATATAATTTGTGATCTATTCTTTGTGTGTGTCCTATATTAATTGAACTTCCATTTTTATCTATACTGCATATAAGACTGAAGCAATTAGAGTACAATACTTTAATTGCATAAATTTTTATTAACAAATGTAGAAGCAAATTACATTCCATAATTTGTCAAATGAATATTAGTTACATAAAGAAAGTTGATTGAGAAAATTTTATGACTGTAATCATTTTGTATGCTATAATATTGATTTGGATGTACTTTATTGTAACAAGTATGCATAAATGAGAGCTTTAGTTTAGAATCGTGTCATACAATTTAGTACTGAATGCTGATTTACTTTACAGGCGAGCATCAGCATCATTAGAAGACGTAGAGCTGTATATTACTGCACTGACTGAGAAGGGTCTCATTAAACCAATGGCTCCTGGCTGCTTCACACGTATTGTACAGAATGAAACGGATGTAAAGGTGTGATTTTTTTTTTTTTCATGAGCTTATTGACATAACATTTTATAAAAAAAAAAGGAAAGAACTATTTAAGAGTTTAAAAGGTTTTGAATTAATAAAAACATTGAATATTAGTTCATTGAATACTATATATTTTGGAATTGTTAAACTGAGTGAGACATCAAAATTCAGAAATAAAGATGACTACCTTTATTCAGAAACACAAATTCGATATACGGTACAGGGTATTATTGAAAAGAAAATATAGTCCATTTTTATAATTTTTAGGTTGTGAGACAGATGCCAACAATAACAACGAACAAGCAACCCACCATCGCCATTATCACAGCACACTATTCAGAGAAGTTAGCTGTTGACACCATGATTGAAAACCAAGAGACCTTTGTCAGATATACCACTGTTGGTAAGATCAATTGTATCTTCATATAGGTGATGTTTCGTGAATACATTTACTTTATCTGCCTCTTCATACAGATGTTCTTTAGTGTATATCATTACAGGAATTTTCAAAATAAATTACAACAAAAATAAATAACTATTAAAGATTTTATTATTACAAATATTTGACTGCTTCTTTATAGAGTTTTCGTTCTTCATATAATCTGTATATTGAACAAACATTTGCATTGAAATATTGAACAAATAGATGAACATTGAGTGTATTCAAGGAAATTTAAAGGTAGGAGGAGGAGGAATGAAAGACAAAGAACATGATAAACATACATGGTGAGTTGAGCGCGTGAGGTAGCAGAGGCAGTGTGAACAGCACACAAGACGGTGGCCATTTAAATTAGTTTAAGAGTTAAATTTTTGTTTTTGTTTTATTTGATTACATTCGAAGCCCTTTACACCTAATTGTATGAAGTAAGTAGTAGGGTGTTGCTGTGGATATATATATATTGCAGAAATGTAGTGGTGCTTTTTCTGTGTGATGCTGCAGTAATGTTTATAGTGTATAAGACATGGCAAATGGATAAAGGCTCTTTCTTCTTCTTATTCTTATTCTTATTCTTATTTTTATTCTTCCTGTCTGTCTGTCTGCTCTCCTGTTTCCAATGAGCTGATGCCTCCCTACCACATACAAGTGGGAAATGAGATATTATTATGATGCATTAATTAGATTTAGATATACTGTATCAGGATAGAGACATATAAATCCTGATATCCTTGATGCATGGAAAACACTGAAGCATGTGTTGTTAGTAGTGATAGGGGAGATGATGAAATGTGTTCTTCGGTGCTTTCATTGATATATAAAACAAATTTTCAGTTTTTTCTTCGAATATGCAGCATCTTTAGACCGACTACTTCAGAATAGTGGAAATGCTCGATTCTTTTCTTAATACTGTATGTCTAGTTGTAGAAAAATTTAGTTGGCAAGTTAAAGTTAATTAGAAGGTATGTATCTGTATATCAGAGATCATTGTGGAATACTTTTGTTTAAAATGCAAGTGTTAAATACATTACCGAGATATTGTCTGTGGCCAGATGAATCCTGGGTATTTAAAAATCAACAATTAAATCCAAACAAGGTTATTTCTGTTGAAGTAGAGTATAGGAAGCTGAAGATACTAGACCACATTCACATGGCAAGTTGGTAAACACTCCTCCAAATAAGGTGATGCTTTGCTTACAGTTGTAGTGCAATATTGCAGTAGGGTTTGTTTTTATTATAAACTAACTTTAGGATAATTCATTGAAGAAAATTAAATTATCAGTTTTCAACTTTGTTAGGACAAAAAAAAATCAAGCTCTGAGTGCATATGAAAAGCACTACTGTACTCAGTTTCTCCACAAAGGTAGATCCAACAGAATGCTGGTTAGGATCTAGTACACACTCAGGATGGATTAACATTCCGCATCAGCATAGTGGGGAACGTTTCAGACTGTCTCCACCCAGTCATGCTGGTGCTAGAGAAAGATGCTGTTCTGGGAAATACTAAGTACAGCCCAAAATATATACAAAGAAGGTGCAATACATAAACTCAAAAGCCTCTCCAAGTACAACTTGGCAGCGAAGTGTAATGTATTCGATTTTGGGTGACAACATTCAAAGAGTACACTGTTTTTTTGTTTAATAGTCTTGGTTATAGCAATCGGATGTTTGAGTATAGATTGAGTTTTCCAGTGTGTCCCTAGCATCACTATGAACTCAGTATTCTACTTGGGGAAATTCTCTACAGTATTCTACATTAGAGAATTGAAAAATTCTCCATTGCACCATTGTGGAAAGTCGACCTGCCCTGATTGTGCCAGATCCTAACTAGAGGCCAATAATATCTTACCATGGCAAACAGTTGAATGAAATGGCTCAAATCCAACAAACGTATTTCATTAAATTATTTCTTACAAAAAATTACTTTACTGTATAATGAGGGGAAAATGTGTAAGCATACTTGAACATCTCACATTGAGGGTTGCTACATATATAACTATTTTTTAATTAGTAAAGAAAATTGTATATATAATGTGATACATTGACTGTGTGGTTGTTATTTGTACAATTATAATAAAAGATGCTTATATGTTTCTGCAGATATATTCAAAACAAATGTTATAAATTAATGTGTGATAACCTGCTATCATCATCTCCTCCCCACCATCCCAAGTAGTTCGTTGTCTTGATGGCAATAATTTGTAAGTGACACCCCAGCCTGATGCATATGAGCCATTAATGCTACCTAGTTCCCAAAAGCTACATTCCACTCGGTTTTTAAATTTTGTATCTCTCTCCTATAAGCCTACTAACAGTAAATTTTCCTTGGCTGCTTTCTTTACAGGTGGTACATACGGTAATGTGCATGGCAACCTGAGCATGGTAGAGCATGGTAGTCTACATATTCAGGTGGATGGTTATATATTCTTTGTAGGTTTGATGTACACAAAATAAAGATAAGTAATTAATGGCCTGTCTAGTGGATTTTGCTTAATCATATACATACATACAGTATTTAATTTTATTGCAGTTGTTACCCATATTCTTCTCGTAAAATGAACACTGACTCCTACACATTCTTTTAGGTTAAAGTTTCAATTAAGCTTTCATTTTTTATGCTTCAGTTCTAATGCTAATGTAGGCCTTGAAAATATGAAACAATTGATTTGATAAGATGTAGCTCCTTAACCCACTCAATACAACCTCATCCTGCATACAGTGAAACAGGAACAAATTCTACTACACAGTGCAGAGCAGGACTATACATTTTCAGGAAAGCTTTGAACGAGGGATATGTTGATGACAGAGTTAGTGTGAAATTATCAACATAATCGAAAACGATACTTGGGTTACACACATTTTTAATGTCGAGAAAATATCTTGCTTATAAATGTAAATACCTACAGTAAAGACCTATCAAACTACTTATTATATAAAGACAGTTGTAAAGAACAGACATATGTTAGTGTCAAAACCAGTCAGGGTTTATAGTAACTAGAGTACAATGTGTAAACATTCCCTTGTACTATTTCATAGGGCTGTCATTTATGTTTAAGAAATTAACACTAATTTATTAATATTGTTTTCAAACACTAAATGTTATTTTAATAGATGATCTATGAATGTAGGTACAGTAAGTGCTTCCTATAGTTTCAAAAGTTGTCTCGTCACACTGAATCCCGCACATGTTCAGATGAACTATTACTTTGGTCTTTTGTTCCCATGAAATGTTCACACATTTTACATTTTTTCACCCCCCCCCCCTTCCTGGATGGATGTGTGTGTATGTATGAGGGGAAAAAAATTAGTAGTTAGTAACAGTTGATTGAGAGTTGAGAGGCAGGCCGAAAGAGCAGAGCTCAACCCCCGCAATCACAACTAGGTGAATACATTGTACACTAGTTATTATAAACCCTGACTGAGCTGTATATGTTTTTACACTAACATAGGTAACCTTTACATTAGTAATATGAGAATTTTAAAATTTATGAGAATTTTCTACCGGTATATTTACTGTAGTCATGATGTCTAACTACTGTAAATATTCAGTTATCTAGAACATAGAGTATCTGATGTCTTGAATATTACATTAATGTCACATTGGTGAAGCAGTCATTTACCAGTCTTGAGTAATGCAATGGAAAAATTACAAAAAGTAGTAGGGAAAGATAGGTAAATCACATAGAAATCACAATAGTGTGATGCATCAAATGAACAAATCCACAAGGGTAAAACCCTGGTTTGTGTCTCGGAGAGACTGCAGGATCTGTGTGAGGGCAGATGAACTCCCGGTTGCAATTCCTTTGCCATGTTGTGGCACACAATCGATTAAGGCGCATCTGGGATCCTCTTGGACGCAAGTTCGAACCCTCATCATAGCCCTTGTGGATTTGTTCATAGGTAATGCCTTCATTTAAGCAGAGCCCAAGCAAATTTATAAGTAAAAAATGCATTGCCAATGAAATCATAATTTACATACATAAATACATTCAGTATGTATGTATTTAGAGTAGTACACAATACTGTAATACAGTATATAAGTACTATTCAGTACTTAAAATGTAGCAAAAAATACTTTTGCTAATTACAACCTACTGTTAACAAGTGTAATTTGGACAACTGCTCACCATTATGTAAGGCTGAGTTGTTATTAAACATTCTGGAAAAGCTGGATTCTGTGAAGTTTTAATTTTTTTACAAGGGGGTGGGGAGTTGTGTGCAAATCAAAATATGTTACGTACTTATTGGTTTGTTCTGTACATGAGAGCTGCCATTATAACTTCTTAGTCAGAAAGTTTTGAATATCCCAATTCCAGGTCTTGTCTTGAATTAAGATTTAATTTGATTATTTCCCTGTTATTACAGTATTAACGTGGAATATATTTAGATGTTTAACTTATGTTTTATACTAGTATACTGCATTATTTTGTCCTTTGTAAATATAAGTACTGTACCTTCAAATTCTTTTGAAGAAACACTTTTGTGGTTGCTGTAACATAGTGTATAGCATAATAGTTATATTCTAATTACAGGTGAGAGCAACATTTATACATTAGGTAACATTGGCGCACATAGAGTTGTGTGCACAAAGCTTCCAACTGTCGGTCATGATCGCTCTGCGTCCATTGCTGCCGGGAACACAACTACCAGACTACTTGGTAAGTCACTTTTATGATCACTTGGCATCCATTGCTGCGGGAAACACAACTACACAAGGCTATTTACAAAATTGCATTTATAAATTTATTTCTTTTAATTTAAAAAAACAAAAGCTATACAAAATGTTACTATGAGTCAACATGAATAACTAGTAATTATCTAAGTGTAGTTACAGGTTGAGAGCAACACTCATGGTGTCTCGTCTTCCCAGTACTCTTTGTCGTATAACGCTTTGAAACTACTGACGGTTTTGGCCTCCACCTCCTCACTTGTTCCAATCGTCTACCACTCTGTTTTCAAAAGAAAATTTTCTATTATTTTTTCGGCACCTTTGTCTCCTTAGCTTGAATCCTCTGGTTTGGGAAGTTGCTGATTTCAGGAATTCCTCTTTGTCAATTTGGTCGATTCCTGTTAGTATTTTCTTCTATTGTCTAGTTTGGGCATATCTCTAGTCTCTCCTCGTAACTCTTTGTTTTTCAGTTCCGGGAGCCATTTTATAGCATGCCTTTCCACCTTTTCCAGTTTATTTATGTGCTTCTTGAGATTTGGGCATAATGCAACTGCTGCATATTCCAATTTTGTTCTCTCAAAAGTCATGAGCAGTTTCTTTAGTATTTCACCATCCATGTAATTAAAAGCAAGTCTGAAGTTGGAAGGTGATGCATACGCTCCTTTCACAATGTTCTTTGTGTTCCTCTGGCAAAAGCTTACTATTTATAACCACCCCTAGGTCTCGTTCTTTATTAGTTCCATAATTCTTTTCCACATAATTTGTAAGTTGTGTGTGGTCTATTCTCTCCAATTCCATATTCCGTATCATGGCATTTATTCGAATTGAATTCCATTTGCCAATTGACACTCCAAGCATTTATTTTATCTAGATAAATTTAAAGGCATTATAATCGTCTGCTTCACCTATCTTCCCAGTATCTTGGCATCATCTGCAAACATGTTCATGTAATTCTGTATTCATTCCAGTAGATCGTTAATGTGGACAATGAACATTACTAGTGCAAGAATTGAACCCTGTGGTACTCGGCTAGTAACCCTCCTCCAGTCAGATACATTCTTTGATTACTGCCCCTCATCTGTCAGAAAATTTTTCATCTCTATCAGAGGTCTCTGTCATCCCTCCAGCATGTTCGTTTCCAGAACAGCCTCGTGTGGGACTATCAAAAGGCTTTTTTTTTTTTTTTTTTTTTTTTTTTTAAATCTAGTGTTGAGGAAATGAAATGCCTCTTTCCGGTAGAGCCCCATTAGCTCCCTGATACTATCTCGATGAGATGGTTTTCCACTACTGGGTCATATTAATTGCAAAAGTCCTGTTTGACCTACAGGAAACTAGAGTGAGAACCTGGCCCCTGTTATCACCACCCACTCTTGATATAGGCTCATGCTTGCTCCACCCAGGCCTATCACACTTCAATTGATACCTATTCTAAGAACCTCTCATTTATTGTTCCACCTATTCTAACGACCGATTATTTAGATCGTTAACTGGCTCCTTATTTACCGATCCATTGGCCGTTAAATCCAGGATATGGATTCTATATTATAATACAGATACAGATACGAATCACTACAAAAATCAGTGAGGAGACTGACTATTCTGCTATTGTCTTGTATATAATTCATTTTTAATGCTAGGTAAAAAATAATTGTTTAATCTTTTTATAATTTCAGGGACCTTCCAAAAAGTGGATCATGTGTTTTTAGTGGGAACAGCAGGCGGCGTTCCCCATTTTACAGATTACAACAAACATGTTCGGCTTGGAGATGTCATAGTCTCTGCACCACCTAGTGGACAAAAGTAAGTTAAATATTTTAATGCAGTGTAAGTTTACACACTGTATTATGACAGTACTACTTGGTACCTGTGTATATGACCAGTAAAATTAATATTCAGAATCTGGAGGTCAATAGGACCCCATAACTGCAGAAAAGGTAAAGGATAAGTTGAGGGATAAGATTTAATGATTTAAAATGATTTAGGTACATCTCAAAGTCTTATAGTAAAATGAAAAAAGCAAAACTTTCATACTTTTCCAGCAGGTAATTTGCAAAGAATAGTGAAAAGTAATTCGATCCGGGGTTCCCCAATTCATCCGGGGTTCAGGGACTAGCTCGGTTTTGTCATGGAGCATCAAGCTCTTCACTTTCGTTGCCTTATACAGTATTCGACTTGAATCTGGCACCTCGTGTGTTCACACGCCTTACCAGGGTTGTGGTGACCCGCATGCGTCTGCAAGGGGATTGGGTTCTGACTGACCTCGATGACTGGCTGGTGTGGGCTCCCTGCCGGTCCGGACAGTCGACACCAACTCGTTCAGTTGGCTCTGCCAGACGTATGGATGTCAGGAGGTGGACTTCTTCGCGTCGGTGTTGTCATGATGTCTCCCGGTATAAGGCGCTCTTCCCCGACTCCGAGGCTGTCAGGGTCGACACTTTTCAGCAGGACTGGTCAAGGTGCGGTTGCCTGTACCTCTTCCCGCCGGTTCAGCTGTTGCTTCGGATTCTGGGTCGTTTGGAAGGAATACCTTACCAGGGAATAGTAGTCCTGTTGGCCCCATGGTGGCTGGCCCAGCCATGGTTTCTGGCTCTGCTTGCTCAGTGTCCGAACCCAGAAACTTTTCCACGGCTTCGCCTCTTTCAGCAGATTGGTACAGTTCAGTCTGGTACGTGGCTGGTTTGATCTTCTCCTCTGATCATCGCGTTTGGTCTTTCTGATGCGGGTTTTTCACTACTGGTACTTGTATTGTGATCATATTCTTTCTCTCTTGGTTGTCTCAGGACCATCTTATGCTTAATACTGTTGCCCCGCATCATGTGGTGCTGGCAGAGCCGTTCCTGCTTGTGTTCGGGGTGGATGTTACTTCTGCTCCGTTTCGCACAAGCTGTCTCGTGCATTTGCAGGCGATGAGTCACAATAACGTGGCTGAAGTATGTTGACCAGACCACACACTAGAAATTGAAGGGACGACGACGTTTCGGTCCGTCCTGGATCATTCTCAAGTCGTGCATTGTTTCACCTCCGGCTTGCTCATGTGCTGCCTAAGCCATCCTGGTCATTGGACCGGGTGCCCTCTTTTCTCTCCTCTCCTTGGTTCGTGGTGGTTCCTTCTGTTTGGGATTGTTTTGACAAGGCTCCTTTCTTGTTGGCATTGGCCTCTGGGTGTCAGGTCAGGGAACTTCATGCTCTCCTTCGGCGCAGGGGTTTTTGCTTTTTCAGTTCTAGTGGTAGGTGTTTTGTTTGCAGCTGTCTCCTTTTCTGACAAAAAACGAGATGGCGACTTTTCAGAGGTGTACTCGAGTGGTTGATGCATGGTTGGTTCAGCTGGGGGGTCCATCATGTGTTGTCCAGTTGTGGCTCTTTGCCGTTATTTGCTCGCCACGGCCTCAGTGACCGGGGACGCACTTTGGGTTGACCCGGTTTCCCTTCTTCCTTGTTCCGTGGCTCGGGTCTCCCAGGTCGTCGGCAGGGTTATTCAGTCTAGCCAGTCTGTGGTCTATCCTCATGCCCATGACATTCACAGATTTGCTGCTTTAGGTGATGGTTTTGGTAATGGGTCTTGGGCTGACATTCGGGCGCTAGGATTTTGGAGGTCGAACAGGGTTGCCCATTACCTCGTTAATGTTCCTGGCCTTAGTCAGACGTGTGTCACTTTGGGTCCCAGGTTGCAATCAGTTTGGTCTCGACTCAAAGTCGAAATGTGAGTGGCGGCCGTCTCCCGGATAAGTCTTTCTTCACTTTTTCTGCAGTTAGGTAGCTCCGGAGAGCAAGAGGGGCTCTCCACAGAAAACCAGTGTTGAATGTGATGAAACGCCATTTTCTGGGTGAGTCTCTGAGGCTCCCTGGCATCCCTCTCTCCCTCCGGTCAGCGGATTTTGCGTTTTCATATTCAGCCTCTGAATTAAGGTTGGGTAGCCGGCGCAAGGGGTCTTGGGCTTCCCCCGTTTCCCTCCCGGGGAAGGGAGGAGCTGCGTAGACATCGGCACAGTGGCGGTTGTAATGTCATGTTTGTTTGATTGTTTGGTTTTTATTAGCAATTTTAACACTCATCCGGCGGGGATGGATATTGCGTCCATAAATAACTTTACACATGTCCGACAGGGACGCATGTTGTGTCCAAAATGAAAATATTTGTTAAAATTCCTTTTGTTTTTTTATCATTAGGGGACTAGTTTAGAAATGTGCGCCTTTTAGATTGCGAACCATTTGATACCAGAATGACCGACGTAACATGAAAATTGAGGTGAGAAAACTGAACAGAGTACTGTATACACCTTTTATTGTGGGTGTGCTGATAGGTACTTGCTCATGGGTAACGCTGGGTGGATTTTCTGATTTGCTGCGGGTAGCGCGCCTGTTTTTAATTATCTTGTATACATATATCCCTTTAGAAAATTCTATTGCAAACAAATTGATACCAAAATGAATGATGCAACATGAAAATTGACATGCGAAAACTGAAAAGAGTACAGTATGTCCAACAAAGTCACGGAATGAACACTCCAGCCGCTTGACAAATTAAAACAATGTGCCGTGAATATGTGACGTCACAGGGTAGAAGGCACTAGAGTGGTGGACCCAGTGGCTGTCTTTACAAAATATATCTTATCTGAATATTACTTGAAAAATTACCAACACTTAACTTCGAAAATACCGGAGCTCCGGAAATAATGACCAGGGTACAGCCCCATATAGGCCGTTAAATCGAGTGGATACTTACACATTTTAGTGGTTGCTCGCTCACGGATAATGCTCGGCCGATTATTGGGTTTGCTGCGGGTGGCACGCCGGGCATTTTTTACTTTATATGCATGTATTCCTTTAGAGAATTCTATTGCGAACAATTTGATATCAAAATGAATAGTGTAACACGAAAAATGTGAAAAAACTGAAAAAGAGTACAGGTATTCACATTTTCGTGTGGGTGCGCGCTTATGGGAAAATGCTTGGCCCACCTTGGGCTGGGCTGGGGTGCGCACATCAGGCCACTCAGTGTTAACCAGGTGGAGTCTGTTTTGGGACGCCTACCTTTCTGGGGTGTCTAACCTGGTAGATGGTAGACATAAAATGCTTCAAACCACATGGAGGTTTTTATAGGGCATTGCTCCTCGTGCCTCTCTGAGCACGGTCAGGTTCTGGCTCGTGGTCCCCAGTAGGCTAGAACTACAATTGAATTGACTGGTGCCATGGTCTAATATATTCATATCAGCCCGGTATAGCTCCGAGGAGCCTCCGGGACTTGCCCAGAAAATGGCATTTCAGTACATTCAACGCTGTTTACATATATAATGTGTGTGTGTGTAATTACCTAAGTGTAGTTACAGGATGAGAGCTACGCTCGTGGTGTCCCATCTCCCCAGCACTCTTTGTCATATAACACTTTGAAATTACTGATGGTTTTTGGCCTCCACCACCTTCTCACCTAACTTGTTCCAACCGTCTACCACTCTGTTTACAAAAGTGAATTTTCTTATACTTCTCCGGCAGCTTTGTTTTGAGAGTTTAAATCTATGACCTCTTGTTCTTGAAGTTCTGGGTCTCGGGAATTCTTCCCTATCAATTTTATCGATTCCTGTTACTATTTTGTATGTAGTAATCATATCACCTCCTTTTCTTCTATCTTCTAGTTTTTGCATATTTAATGCCTCTAACCTCTCCTCGTAGCTCTTTCCTTCAGTTCTGGGAGCCACTTAGTGGCATGTTGTTGCACCTTTTCCAGTTTGTTGATGTGCTTCTTAAGATATGGGCACCATACAACCGCTGCACATTCCAGCTTTGGTCTAACAAAAGTTGTGAACAATTTCTTTAGTATTTCTCCATCCATGTATTTAAAAGCAATTCTGAAGCTAGAAAGTGTACTCGCCTAGTTGTGTTTGCGGGGGTTGAGCTCTGGCTCTTTGGTCCCACCTCTCAACCGTCAATCAACAGGTGTACAGATTCCTGAGCCTATTGGGCTCTATCATATCTACACTTGAAACTGTGTATGGAGTCAGCCTCCACCACATTACTTCCTAATGCATTCCATTTGTCAATCACACTGACACTAAAAAAGTTCTTTCTAATATCTCTGTGGCTCATTTGGGCACTCAGTTTCCACCTGTGTCCCCTTGTGCGTGTGCCCCTTGTGTTAAATAGCCTGTCTTTATCTACCCTATCAATTCCCTTCAGTATCTTGAATGTGGTGATCATGTCCCCCCCTAACTCTTATGTCTTCCAGCGAAATGAGGTTTAATTCCCGTAGTCTCTCCTCGTAGCTCATACCTCTCAGCTCGGGTACTAGTCTGGTGGCAAACCTTTGAACCTTTTCCAGTTTAGTCTTATCCTTGACTAGATATGGACTCCATGCTGGGGCTGCATACTCCAGGATTGGCCTGACATAGTGGAGCATAGGCGCCTCGCACAATGTTCTTAATGTGGTCCTCAGGTGGCAGTTTTCTATCCCCTAGGTCCCTTTCCACCCCTAGATCCCTTTCTTTGTCAGAATTCTTTAAAGATTTCTCACGTAATTTATAGGTTGTGTGGGGGTCTATGTTCTCCAATTTCACATTCCATAACATGGCATTTATTCACATTAAATTCATTTGCCAAGTGTTGCTCACATACTTATTTTGTCCAGGTCTTCTTGAAGGGCATGACAATCATCTAGGTTTCTTATCTTCCCTATTATCTTAGCATCATCAGCAAACATGTTCATATAATGCTGTATTCCAACTGGTAGATCGTTTATGTAGACAATGAACATTACCAGTGCAAGAACTGAACCCTGTGGTACTGCACTCATGACATTCCTCCAATCCGAT